GCGAAAGCCCGCGACATCCTAAACTCTCTGACAATCCGGGAATTTCGCGGAATTACGCAATTCACGCAAACTACGCAACGCCAGAACTTCTTTCTAAATGAACATATTTTGAAGCAGCATTGTATTCAGCTCGTCAAGGCGAATCTTTTGTTGCACATCATTCCTTGATTTCCGAATTCAGCATTCATGAAAGTTTTTGCGGACCTCTCTTCGCAAAGGCGCGCATTGCTCCTACTAGATTCTAGCAAGATTTTTTCAAAAGTACTTTTTCTGTAGATTATTGAGCGCTAAAAAGTAGCCGCAGACTTTTTTCCGAAGAAAATAGAAGAAGGGCTGGTGAACTCTGGAAACATCATGTCGTTCTGAATTCTGCTCACCATAACCCTAAAATATGAAGCTCTCTTGCTAAGCAGATGTGATTTTCATAACCAGCAAATCAGATAACCTCTTTGCGCAGGTTTTTTAAAAAGTTTGGGCTTTTTAATCCTTTTTCGTCTGACGTTCCAAAGCTTGCCGATGGTTTTAGTCAAAATGTCGATGATTTGGGATTGTAAGGAAACTTCGTTTGTAGAGGTTCTCGAACATGTTGTTTATGAAAATCGTGGTCATTGAGGAATACAGGTTTTTTGCAGAGATAGGTGAGCTTAATTGAGTCACAAAAGTTCGTAACTTCGCCTGCACTTCGCGCGTATCTGTAAGATAACTTGCCTGCTTCCTCTTATAGGTTGTAGCTACTAGGAGCTGGATCGAATTTATAAAAATGCCGAGTTATGGGCCTACGAAAACACGTCCTCCTCAATTCTTTGTAGCTATTAGTCCTTTTAGCATTGTACGGTCGGTGAGTCAGCGTGTGTGTGTACTGTGATCGATGCTGCCACGCGGGACTTACGCACAGCGAGTGCACCTCAAACTTGGGTAATTAAACTTTTATTATAAAACCTAACAACTACAACATGAGCACGATAATAATACACAAGGAGTGTAGGTTCAATATATAACAACCGAGTAGCCTGTGAATTGCTGTGAGGGTTTCTGTGAGGGGACTGTGACTTACTGTGAGAGATCCGTGAAGAGAACATGACTAAGATAAAGGCAACAAATATCATGATGTGAGATCCAACGATGGAATGGGAAAAACAGCATACAAACTGAATATGTGCACTACACGAACTAACTACTTATATATGTAAGCGAATGTATACAAAACAACGGTATGCATGAGAATATCACAAATAAGCTAAAACTAACAAAACAATAGATACGAGCCTGTGAGAAACTTCGCGCTTCAGTCGTTGTTAGCCATGCGGAATTCTTCGGGCGCAAAGTACAATACGAACATGGAGAGTTCGTATACTCCGGCCTCAGCAGACGAGTGAAGCGTCACCATTAATGGTGAAGTAGTCGTCGTGGTAATCGTTGACTTTGGCTTCCGTGTCGCTGCTCGTAGCTCTGCTTCTTTTTGGCTGATTTTTTCCTCGGTTGGCATTAAATCGAGTTGCTTTGTCTTGCTTGTCTGCCGTGAATGTTTCTCCATTGTCAATCTCCAGTGGCGCAATTTGAGTCGACCGTCGTCGCAGTCCGGGTCCATCAGGATCTGCCATAACAGCTTCCCTTGTGGCTTTCTGTGCTGATTCGTCTATCTGGACTGTGGGAGTGGTCTTCCTCCTGTGGGTTGATATAGGTAGTGCCGCATCCCTGGGGAGTACGATTTTGCCTTCGTTCGGCGACTTCTTCAATCCTCCTGTGCTGTATCGGATTCTCTGCTGCTGTCGTGAGCGCCATCGGGAGTCGGACCCCACTTCCATGTCTGTGAGCATCGTCTTGAAACCATCGAAAGCCATGGCGAGCACTCCGAGCGTGTAGTATAGCGTTTTCCTGATGCAGCGCATAATCCTCTCGTAAAACGCACCCTGCCACGGTGCGCGAAGAGTAGTGTGATTCCATCCTCCCTTTCGCCGTGCTACTTCGCTTCCGAAGTGTGTGCTGTGTAACATGTTTTCCGTAGTTTCTCCAAAAGTTTGCTCACGCGCCAAAACCGTTTGTCTCTTTTTATTGGTAATGGTCCGCCGTTCCACTTATTTCGTAAATCTCTGAGTTTTATCCACTGTGCTATCCTTGGGGCACTTGAGAGCTTGTCTCTGAACGCTGTTGCTGTGCGTTGCTCCGTACTTCGAAGGGCGCGTGAATTGATACGAATGGAATATGTATGCTCCGGCCTGTCCAGTACGACTGACTGGTGGTTTCGCTTTGAGCATTTTTGGTTTTCTTCCTCCTTGCCCCATGCTGGTACTTGTCTTCTTTGACCATTCACTGTGATCCGCTTGCGCCCTTTTCCCTTCTGTGTATCTTTGGGTTCTGATGCGACGTCGCGCCATTCTTCGCTTGCGCTCTCCTTTTGCAGGCTCGTTGCTGTGCTTGACTTCTTTTGCAAGGTCGCAAAGGACTTCCTCAGATGTCTTTGATCCTTGAAATGTCGTCTTCTCATCTCATTCTTTGGCTGCGTAGCCCTTTGCGAGGATTGCGGTTTCTTGTGGAGAGCTCCTTGTAGACTCTTCTTTTCTTTAGTCTGGATCATTTCTCGGTTTCTGCTGGCGTTCGTTCTTTCCTGTGTAGTGAAGGTAGCAAAGCGCTTGAAACCCTGCATCCATTCTTGCACTTCTTGGTGCTGTCCCGCTACCTTCTTCTTGAAGTCCAGAAACCGTTCCCATAAACGGTGCACAGTTATCACTTCATCCTTTGAAGAATCATCGTCATCAGTCCTTGAAACGCTCGATAAGCCAGAAGTGCTTCTTGACTGCGCATCAGGAGGCTTAACTGTTGCTCTCGCCAAAGCGATAGCGACCGGTGCATCCGTGTTCGAGTCGAATTCTGTGCTAGACGACGAAAACTTCTTTTGTTGTGTGGGTGCAGTAGTCATCACGGCTGACATTGTTGTCGCTTGTGCTTCCTCAGTAGAAAGTTCAAAACTGCTTGAGTTGGACGATGACAGTGAATCGGCTGTACTAGCTCGCTTTTTCTGCCTATTCATGAGTCTGCTATTAGGCGCTTCTGATTTCGGTGCCTTTTTACCCAGGGAGGTGGTTTTGTGGTGCTTTCCGCGACATTTTCTGCAGTTGCCTCTCCAGCATGACGCTATCCTGTGATTCTTGGATCCACAGTTGAAACATCTATTGGCTTCTAACAGAAACTTTCTCTTTTGTATTGCTGTGGGTATTTGCGGGCAGGTCGTCCATCTATGTCCTTTATCTCCACAGCATTCGCATAGGGTTCCGCGCTTCCAGTTCTTCTTCAGATCTGGAAGTGTTTTTGTGTTGTTGCGTTGTGCAACGGAGAACCTGTGAATTGACCGTCGACTGAGAGCATATGGTTCACCTGTTCCTCCTGTGAGATAATGTTGTCAATGGCGTCAAGCCATTGATTCAAGGTCCACTCGGACTGGTGCTCATCCTGATGGCGTATTTTCTTTTCCATAGCAGCCTTTTTTATGCGTGCGTGGAACTTTTGCACAAAGGTTTATATCGTTAGTTGGTTATTGAGCTGCTCCTCATGCTCTTCTAACTGTGCGGCGATCGTTGACAGTTTGTCCCACAACTGTCGCTGTTCCGTCGTACTAGGTCCCCTTGCAGCACAGTTGTGTAGGCTTCTATCCAACTCTAAGACAATGCCGTCCTTACTGCCATACCTCTTGACTAGGTGGTGAATTGCCTTGTCGTAATTATTTGCTGAGACGAAGAACCGTGAAACTGATTGTTTCGCTTTCCCACTCAGGGATGCCAGCAAATAATTAAACTTCTGCACTGTGTTAGGTTCTGATCGTGGACATTGGCTTTGTATAGGGCCCAGAAGTTATCCCATTCCCATTTTTTTCCCGTGAATGTTGGGATAGGAATAATCGGGAGTCTGTTGACTGCAGCTAGGCTAGTAGTGCCGTCTGTGTCAATCCCGATATTATCCTCCTGGGTTTCTTCTAGTCGTGTCCTGTGCTCGTGTAGCTTCATTATTGTTGCCTGAGTCTTTTCTATGTACTTGTCCAGGTGATCCTCCTCCTCTTCTGTGGTCTCTGGAGCTTCATCAAAAGCTTTAGTGAGCCTTGTCAGTGACGTCTCGAGAAGCTCGATGTATCTCTCACAGGTTTTTATCCTCCTTGCGCTTTCCTTAGCGTGCTTCCCGTGCATATTGCGGTGTGGTGCCTTCTACGACATTTTCTACAGTTGCCGCTCGAGCATAACGCTACTCTGTGATCAGCAGATCCGCAGTTTAGGCACCTACGGGAATCAAGAAGAAACGTTTTCTTCTGTGCTGCTGTGGGGATGGCTGGGCAGAATGTCCATCTGTGATCGCTTCTTCCACAGCATTCGCAAACTAATTCCCATCTATCGTTCCATCTTGAAGAGCAATTCCCTGGGTGTCCTTTGACTGAGAGTATATCGTTCAGTTGCTCTTCCTGTGAAATAACGTTGTTGATGGCATCAAGCCATTGGTTTAAGGTCCACTCGGACTGGTGCTCCTCTTGGTGTCTCAGTCTTCTTTCTATAGCCGCTTTCCTTATGCGCGGATTAAAGTTTTCAAGAAAGATCTGGATCGTTATTTGATTATCAAGACGTTGACCGTGTTCTTCTAGTTGTGCGGCTATCGTTGACAGTTCATCCCATAACCGTCGCTGTTCTTTCGTACTGGGTCCCCTTGTTACACAGTTGTGTAGGCTTCTATTCAACTCTAAGACAATGCCGTCCTTATTGCCATACCTCTTGACGAGGAGTTGGATTGCCTTGTCGTAATTATTTGCTGAGACGAAGAATCGTGAGATCGATTGTTTCGCTTCTCCACTCAGGGATGCCAGCAAATAATTGAACTTTTGCAGCTGTGTTAGATTTTGGTCGTGGACATTGGCCTTGTATAGAGCCCAGAAGTTGTCCCATTCCCACTTTTTTCCTGTGAATGTGGGGATAGGGATGATCGGGAGTCTATTGACTGCTGCTTGGCTAGTGGTGCCGTCTGTGTCAGTCCCGATATCCTCCTCCTGGGCTTCTTCTAGCCGTGTCCTGTGTTCGTGGAGTCTCATTATCGTCACCTGGGTTTTCTCTATGTACTTGTCCAGGTGGTCCTCCTCCTCTTCTGAGGTTTCTGAAGCTTCATCGAAAGCCTTAGTTAGCTTTGTCAGTGACGTCTCGAGAAGCTCGATGTATCTCTCACAGGTTTTTATCCTCCTTGCGCTTTCCTTGGCTTGTATATCCGTGAGCGCTTGCGTGGAGTCCTGCAGCCAATTCATCGCTGCATCATTTTTTTTCGCAACGAATCCTTTAAGGCATCTTACTGTGCTGGCCATGATTAGTCGAGTTAGTTCTATGAAATACTCTGACTCGTTGTGCGGCAACTGCGACTCTTACTGTGAGGGACCTGTGAGGTGACTGTGACTCGCTGTGCAATAGCTGTGCCAAACCCTGTGAGGTGCCGTGAGTAACGTGCAAATTGTTAGTCGGAAGCGTTACTCGTATGCAATAAATCGTACCTCCTTTTGGCCGAGGCACCACTTGTACGGTCGGTGAGTCAGCGTGTGTGTGTACTGTGATCGATGCTGCCACGCGGGACTTACGCACAGCGAGTGCACCTCAAACTTGGGTAATTAAACTTTTATTATAAAACCTAACAACTACAACATGAGCACGATAATAATACACAAGGAGTGTAGGTTCAATATATAACAACCGAGTAGCCTGTGAATTGCTGTGAGGGTTTCTGTGAGGGGACTGTGACTTACTGTGAGAGATCCGTGAAGAGAACATGACTAAGATAAAGGCAACAAATATCATGATGTGAGATCCAACGATGGAATGGGAAAAACAGCATACAAACTGAATATGTGCACTACACGAACTAACTACTTATATATGTAAGCGAATGTATACAAAACAACGGTATGCATGAGAATATCACAAATAAGCTAAAACTAACAAAACAATAGATACGAGCCTGTGAGAAACTTCGCGCTTCAGTCGTTGTTAGCCATGCGGAATTCTTCGGGCGCAAAGTACAATACGAACATGGAGAGTTCGTATACTCCGGCCTCAGCAGACGAGTGAAGCGTCACCATTAATGGTGAAGTAGTCGTCGTGGTAATCGTTGACTTTGGCTTCCGTGTCGCTGCTCGTAGCTCTGCTTCTTTTTGGCTGATTTTTTCCTCGGTTGGCATTAAATCGAGTTGCTTTGTCTTGCTTGTCTGCCGTGAATGTTTCTCCATTGTCAATCTCCAGTGGCGCAATTTGAGTCGACCGTCGTCGCAGTCCGGGTCCATCAGGATCTGCCATAACAGCTTCCCTTGTGGCTTTCTGTGCTGATTCGTCTATCTGGACTGTGGGAGTGGTCTTCCTCCTGTGGGTTGATATAGGTAGTGCCGCATCCCTGGGGAGTACGATTTTGCCTTCGTTCGGCGACTTCTTCAATCCTCCTGTGCTGTATCGGATTCTCTGCTGCTGTCGTGAGCGCCATCGGGAGTCGGACCCCACTTCCATGTCTGTGAGCATCGTCTTGAAACCATCGAAAGCCATGGCGAGCACTCCGAGCGTGTAGTATAGCGTTTTCCTGATGCAGCGCATAATCCTCTCGTAAAACGCACCCTGCCACGGTGCGCGAAGAGTAGTGTGATTCCATCCTCCCTTTCGCCGTGCTACTTCGCTTCCGAAGTGTGTGCTGTGTAACATGTTTTCCGTAGTTTCTCCAAAAGTTTGCTCACGCGCCAAAACCGTTTGTCTCTTTTTATTGGTAATGGTCCGCCGTTCCACTTATTTCGTAAATCTCTGAGTTTTATCCACTGTGCTATCCTTGGGGCACTTGAGAGCTTGTCTCTGAACGCTGTTGCTGTGCGTTGCTCCGTACTTCGAAGGGCGCGTGAATTGATACGAATGGAATATGTATGCTCCGGCCTGTCCAGTACGACTGACTGGTGGTTTCGCTTTGAGCATTTTTGGTTTTCTTCCTCCTTGCCCCATGCTGGTACTTGTCTTCTTTGACCATTCACTGTGATCCGCTTGCGCCCTTTTCCCTTCTGTGTATCTTTGGGTTCTGATGCGACGTCGCGCCATTCTTCGCTTGCGCTCTCCTTTTGCAGGCTCGTTGCTGTGCTTGACTTCTTTTGCAAGGTCGCAAAGGACTTCCTCAGATGTCTTTGATCCTTGAAATGTCGTCTTCTCATCTCATTCTTTGGCTGCGTAGCCCTTTGCGAGGATTGCGGTTTCTTGTGGAGAGCTCCTTGTAGACTCTTCTTTTCTTTAGTCTGGATCATTTCTCGGTTTCTGCTGGCGTTCGTTCTTTCCTGTGTAGTGAAGGTAGCAAAGCGCTTGAAACCCTGCATCCATTCTTGCACTTCTTGGTGCTGTCCCGCTACCTTCTTCTTGAAGTCCAGAAACCGTTCCCATAAACGGTGCACAGTTATCACTTCATCCTTTGAAGAATCATCGTCATCAGTCCTTGAAACGCTCGATAAGCCAGAAGTGCTTCTTGACTGCGCATCAGGAGGCTTAACTGTTGCTCTCGCCAAAGCGATAGCGACCGGTGCATCCGTGTTCGAGTCGAATTCTGTGCTAGACGACGAAAACTTCTTTTGTTGTGTGGGTGCAGTAGTCATCACGGCTGACATTGTTGTCGCTTGTGCTTCCTCAGTAGAAAGTTCAAAACTGCTTGAGTTGGACGATGACAGTGAATCGGCTGTACTAGCTCGCTTTTTCTGCCTATTCATGAGTCTGCTATTAGGCGCTTCTGATTTCGGTGCCTTTTTACCCAGGGAGGTGGTTTTGTGGTGCTTTCCGCGACATTTTCTGCAGTTGCCTCTCCAGCATGACGCTATCCTGTGATTCTTGGATCCACAGTTGAAACATCTATTGGCTTCTAACAGAAACTTTCTCTTTTGTATTGCTGTGGGTATTTGCGGGCAGGTCGTCCATCTATGTCCTTTATCTCCACAGCATTCGCATAGGGTTCCGCGCTTCCAGTTCTTCTTCAGATCTGGAAGTGTTTTTGTGTTGTTGCGTTGTGCAACGGAGAACCTGTGAATTGACCGTCGACTGAGAGCATATGGTTCACCTGTTCCTCCTGTGAGATAATGTTGTCAATGGCGTCAAGCCATTGATTCAAGGTCCACTCGGACTGGTGCTCATCCTGATGGCGTATTTTCTTTTCCATAGCAGCCTTTTTTATGCGTGCGTGGAACTTTTGCACAAAGGTTTATATCGTTAGTTGGTTATTGAGCTGCTCCTCATGCTCTTCTAACTGTGCGGCGATCGTTGACAGTTTGTCCCACAACTGTCGCTGTTCCGTCGTACTAGGTCCCCTTGCAGCACAGTTGTGTAGGCTTCTATCCAACTCTAAGACAATGCCGTCCTTACTGCCATACCTCTTGACTAGGTGGTGAATTGCCTTGTCGTAATTATTTGCTGAGACGAAGAACCGTGAAACTGATTGTTTCGCTTTCCCACTCAGGGATGCCAGCAAATAATTAAACTTCTGCACTGTGTTAGGTTCTGATCGTGGACATTGGCTTTGTATAGGGCCCAGAAGTTATCCCATTCCCATTTTTTTCCCGTGAATGTTGGGATAGGAATAATCGGGAGTCTGTTGACTGCAGCTAGGCTAGTAGTGCCGTCTGTGTCAATCCCGATATTATCCTCCTGGGTTTCTTCTAGTCGTGTCCTGTGCTCGTGTAGCTTCATTATTGTTGCCTGAGTCTTTTCTATGTACTTGTCCAGGTGATCCTCCTCCTCTTCTGTGGTCTCTGGAGCTTCATCAAAAGCTTTAGTGAGCCTTGTCAGTGACGTCTCGAGAAGCTCGATGTATCTCTCACAGGTTTTTATCCTCCTTGCGCTTTCCTTAGCGTGCTTCCCGTGCATATTGCGGTGTGGTGCCTTCTACGACATTTTCTACAGTTGCCGCTCGAGCATAACGCTACTCTGTGATCAGCAGATCCGCAGTTTAGGCACCTACGGGAATCAAGAAGAAACGTTTTCTTCTGTGCTGCTGTGGGGATGGCTGGGCAGAATGTCCATCTGTGATCGCTTCTTCCACAGCATTCGCAAACTAATTCCCATCTATCGTTCCATCTTGAAGAGCAATTCCCTGGGTGTCCTTTGACTGAGAGTATATCGTTCAGTTGCTCTTCCTGTGAAATAACGTTGTTGATGGCATCAAGCCATTGGTTTAAGGTCCACTCGGACTGGTGCTCCTCTTGGTGTCTCAGTCTTCTTTCTATAGCCGCTTTCCTTATGCGCGGATTAAAGTTTTCAAGAAAGATCTGGATCGTTATTTGATTATCAAGACGTTGACCGTGTTCTTCTAGTTGTGCGGCTATCGTTGACAGTTCATCCCATAACCGTCGCTGTTCTTTCGTACTGGGTCCCCTTGTTACACAGTTGTGTAGGCTTCTATTCAACTCTAAGACAATGCCGTCCTTATTGCCATACCTCTTGACGAGGAGTTGGATTGCCTTGTCGTAATTATTTGCTGAGACGAAGAATCGTGAGATCGATTGTTTCGCTTCTCCACTCAGGGATGCCAGCAAATAATTGAACTTTTGCAGCTGTGTTAGATTTTGGTCGTGGACATTGGCCTTGTATAGAGCCCAGAAGTTGTCCCATTCCCACTTTTTTCCTGTGAATGTGGGGATAGGGATGATCGGGAGTCTATTGACTGCTGCTTGGCTAGTGGTGCCGTCTGTGTCAGTCCCGATATCCTCCTCCTGGGCTTCTTCTAGCCGTGTCCTGTGTTCGTGGAGTCTCATTATCGTCACCTGGGTTTTCTCTATGTACTTGTCCAGGTGGTCCTCCTCCTCTTCTGAGGTTTCTGAAGCTTCATCGAAAGCCTTAGTTAGCTTTGTCAGTGACGTCTCGAGAAGCTCGATGTATCTCTCACAGGTTTTTATCCTCCTTGCGCTTTCCTTGGCTTGTATATCCGTGAGCGCTTGCGTGGAGTCCTGCAGCCAATTCATCGCTGCATCATTTTTTTTCGCAACGAATCCTTTAAGGCATCTTACTGTGCTGGCCATGATTAGTCGAGTTAGTTCTATGAAATACTCTGACTCGTTGTGCGGCAACTGCGACTCTTACTGTGAGGGACCTGTGAGGTGACTGTGACTCGCTGTGCAATAGCTGTGCCAAACCCTGTGAGGTGCCGTGAGTAACGTGCAAATTGTTAGTCGGAAGCGTTACTCGTATGCAATAAATCGTACCTCCTTTTGGCCGAGGCACCACTTGTACGGTCGGTGAGTCAGCGTGTGTGTGTACTGTGATCGATGCTGCCACGCGGGACTTACGCACAGCGAGTGCACCTCAAACTTGGGTAATTAAACTTTTATTATAAAACCTAACAACTACAACATGAGCACGATAATAATACACAAGGAGTGTAGGTTCAATATATAACAACCGAGTAGCCTGTGAATTGCTGTGAGGGTTTCTGTGAGGGGACTGTGACTTACTGTGAGAGATCCGTGAAGAGAACATGACTAAGATAAAGGCAACAAATATCATGATGTGAGATCCAACGATGGAATGGGAAAAACAGCATACAAACTGAATATGTGCACTACACGAACTAACTACTTATATATGTAAGCGAATGTATACAAAACAACGGTATGCATGAGAATATCACAGATAAGCTAAAACTAACAAAACAATAGATACGAGCCTGTGAGAAACTTCGCGCTTCAGTCGTTGTTAGTCATGCGGAATTCTTCGGGCGCAAAGTACAATACAAACATGGAGAGTTCGTGTAGCAGGCAAGTTATCTGAAAGATACGCGAGAAGTGCAGGCGAATACGAGCTTTCGTGACTCAGTTAAGGTTACCTCACTATATCTCTGCAAAAGGAGCTGTACTCTTCAAGGACCACCATTTTCGTAAAAAGCATATTCGAGAACCCCTACAAGAGAAGTTTATTTACTATCCAAGATAATCACCACTTTCACCAAAATCCATCGGCGAGCTTCATAGCGAAAACGAGAACAAGTGAAATTAACTCGAAGTGCTTTGAAAACTTGCTCATATAGGTTATCTCACCTGCTTTTACGAAATTCACATCTGCCAAGCCAAATAGCTTTGTATTCTAGGGTCACGGCGAGCAGAATTGGCGACAAGATTTTTCCACAATTTACCAGCCCTTCTATCTCTTTCAAAAAGGAGTCTGCGGTTACTTTTTAGTCACGTTAGTCTGCAAGAACAGAGATGTCGTATAGTGTTTACTGGAATCTTTTCAGCTTATAGGCGCTGCGTTACATTCTTGCGAGTGGACCTCGACAGAATAATTTGAGAGAAGTGGAAATTGATTATCGACGAATGCTGTATTAGGTTGCTGCATAAGTTCTGTCCGATTTAAAATTTTTGAGTTCAAAATGTCTAAATAACTCCTTTTAAAGTCAACTTTATCCTAAGATCTTCTTGTATTGAGCAGTTCCTTGGCTATCAAATACATATTGAAATCTGCGAAAATCCTTGTTAAGGAAGAAGCAAGACCTTGAAAACCTCACTGCGTTTTTCTTCAAACCTGTCTTTTTTGACGTGACAATGCTCCCTTATGAGAATTGATAGGTATTTTATCTAACAATGGGTAGGATAAAGCAATTTTCGTAGATTATTTTGCAACATGAAAGAGCCCATAGGGTCTGCGTTACCGGGAGATTTTTTGACCGAACAAAAGAGAAGCCACTTTTTGAACTCGCTCCAGCGCATGTGTGCATGCCTATATACGAATTATGAAATTTTTACAATTGATATGACCGCCGAAAAGGAAGTGGTGGATGAGCCCTGCTAGCTCTTCTTTATCCTAGCACCTCCAACTTTGCACTCATCGATTACTCGATCATCGATTATTCTATTTGCAGAAAGTTATTGCTTGTAGAACATCTAAACAGTCTATCAATGTTCGACAATAAATTTTACTAGCAAGACGTTTTCTTCATAGAATCGAACTTCTGCATATACTAGCCTTCTACACCCTTACTCCGCAAGCAATGAAAGAGCTTGACTTGAAGGACGCATTGTGGAGATTTCCTCGCAAGAACATATTTTTAGGGTGAGAACGTACCTCGCCCACTTGGAGATTTTTAGCCTGAAATCTCCTTACACTAAGAACTTTATTGAAATTTGTATGCGTGAAGAGAGCAAGAAAAGCACTTTCTAATGATACTAACAATACCGCATTAGATATTAAATTCTCTTAGATTAACTGCTTCAAACATTAGGCAAAAAATCGGACAGAACTTATGCAGCAGCCTAATACTACAAATGATTAACCTTCGCCTTGATGAGCTGAATACAGTGCTGCTTCCAAATCCAGAATATATTCATTTTGAAGAGATTTATGGCGCTTAGTTTGAGTGATGCTCGTGATTCCGCGGAATTCGATTCTGCAACATACACGGAAATTTTGTACATTCTGTGAGCAGTATTGTATTTCAAAATCGAATTCTCTGGGCACAGTCTGGGCAGCATATGAAAACTATTATTGTGCTTTTTCCCGCAGATTTCATCGATCGTAAGGAAAAAACACTTATCAGAAAGAGGAGAAAATGCTGCATTCATCGACACCTCAGATCTCCGTTTGCTGTTCTATATAATATTTGGGATGCTCTAATCTGAAATTTGTTGAAATCGAAAATGGATAATTTTGACAATTTGGAAAAGAAGGTCACGGATGTCAAAAAATTATTTTGTATTATAAGTTGCTGACTCTATCTATGTGTTACCAAAGCTCTTCCAAAAGTCTGGAAAGAAAACTCTAGAAATAGCTTAATTTATTTAGCGTAGGTAAAAACCATGGGTTAAAGGCTCTTGCCATTAATCCAGCGATCATCATAGAGCTCGGAGAAAAAACGCTACTCTTGAACAGAGGAAGAAATTATGCATGAATACTGCTTAGAGCGCTTGTCTATCCTTATTCTGAGTGATTTGAGCCTCGGTGTAAAAAACGGTACGAACTTTCGGACCTGGTTATGTAAGGCTGGCACGAAAGTACTGTCACATTTCAAAGATTCATATCTGATTTTCTCAATTCCGATTTGATTGCATCTATAGAAAGAGCAAATCGTGCTCTTTATAATAGTACCCTATCGGCTTTCTAATTGGCATAAATTCATAAGTAGAAGAAATTACCTAAATTTTGATTTTTTTCTTCTTGGCGTAAAAGATCTGAATTTCGCCCTACATATCGAAGCAGTAGTACCAGTTTTTATTATTACCTCTTTTAACCGTGCAAAGTTGGAGCTGAATTTGAGCTGGACACAAATGTCGTGATCTTTGAGCGAACAATACACTACAGTTTGATTTTTTGGCATGTCTCAAAAACCATAACTTCTCGTAGTGACGTCTAATCAAACCTGTAATACTGACTGTTTCGATTTTTGCAGTTTAAGGTTTTTAAAAATATTTTTTGATGACGTTTGTGTGAGTCGTTTGAAAATTGATGGCGATTGTCACCTATATTTTCCTTAACAGACGATGTTGTCAAGGTGCAGTACTTCTGACAATTCTATTCATGCCGACAGCGCCTGGGGACGAAAATCTATGTCTTGATATGGCTCATCGAAAATAAAGATCAATCCACTCAACATCGTTCTAATAGCGAGAAACACACTGGGAAATACGCTTTATTACAATAAAAAATGAAGGGCGAAAATTTACCGCTAAGAGAGAGCATATGGCATTTGTTTGCTAAGACACAAAACAGTTGAAATTTACAATTCTAGAAACAGAAATCTGAACAAAGTTCCAAAGTTTTTGCAATCCTTGCGTACTCCGCATTTACGAACTCCCTGAATATGTGTGAAGTAAGCAAAAAGGGAGGTCTAGAATCTCCAATAACTTCTCACGAAAGATGCAGAGTGCAGTCACTGCTGTCACTGCATCATCAGCATATCCTGCCCTTGTTAAACCGCATCCAAAAATCGTTGGAGCGCATTGCTGTAAGCACAGTATAATAGGCATTTTTACTGCAATGCAGAAGGAACCTCAATTGTTTTGAGTATCCTGTCCGAACCAAGTTTCAAAGTTCTGCTTATTTTCTCATCATTAGTTGAGCCGTTTACTGTGTAGCTACTGTAAAAGATCTTTGATCAAAGAGTTTGATTATACCAAAGTCTTACCCCTCCAATTTCAGTGTGCACTTTTCGCCACTTCTGCTACCGCTTTTGTCGCGTAGAATTGCCAAAGCTTCGGTATGCAGTTTGCAATCAGGTTTCTGGAACTGAGGTGCTGTCCAGTATAAGCTCGCAAATTTCTGCGTGATTGAATACGATTCAACTCTAGAAAACGTACCGCATCATAGTAATCACTGATCTCGAGTTCAGCGCACACCTGCTTTTGAATTGCATATGCCATCAGCTCATATTCGGCCGCTTTCTCACCAAAACATGGATCGTAATCATCTGCAATAAAAATTATTTTTAGTATGGGTGAACATAACTCTTCCCGTACTGCAAGGTGGGTAATAATAATCGAAATCGCCATCGATAGGACCACCAACTTCTCCTTCAGAACGCTGATATAGTGACATCGTCTTATCGGCCTCCGATCGCCACGACATAGCTGCAGCGAGCACAGAGACCTTGAAAATACATTCTTGATCTTGAAAAAGGATTTGTAGGAAGAGCTCACTATTAGTACTGTAAATGTTGCGCAGAGCATGACCACACGAAACCGCTGAAATTACAACGCTGGAAGTCCTTTATGTACCCCATAGTTCCGAAAAGGCTCTGGCTGTTGCGGGAATTGCAAATAAATAACAATGCATTTTTGAACCTGACATCTGTTAATTACACGAAACAGCCACACCTGATGTCGGAACAGTACCTGAATGAACAGCTCCTGATGCACTTTGGTTTATCTACAGCTCCACATGAAAATGGAGAACCTACTTCAAAGGAGGTATTGAAATGACAGGTTGCATCAAACACACTGGATAAAAGAAACGGTTTACAACTTTTAAAGAGATGTTTATTACTTCTTCTCCAAAGTGCTGCTATCCCTAAGTTCTTCTACTAACTCACTTCTGAAAAGGTGTCTGTAAAACTTCATCAAAATTATCTGTTTGTGAATTGCCGAAACTCTGTAACTAGTTTCCCTACTTAACAAGTTTTTCCAAACCTCCACAAAATTATTCGTAGTATACGTTACTTCATTTATTCATTGTTATTCATTTATCTTTTGTTCCGAAGGTTCTGTCCGATTTTTAGTTGCCTTAATTCAACGCAGCCATTTTCCAGAGTTTTGACTTATTGCAATGTTATGAACACAGTAGAACCACTTTTCTTCCTCTTTCCAGCGCTTACTAATTTTTGATGAAGCAACTTCCCAGTGATGGATTTCAAGCCCTAAATCCAAGTTGCGAAAATTCAGTCACGATTGAGAAAAGTTTTTATGGAGAGAAACCCTGCAGTGTTCTAGATTAGCTAGCTAGCTTTTACCGTCAGATCTATCAGTATTCACAATGAAAACAGTGCATTTACACAAAGTTGAGTTAAACAACGGATTTCGAACGGAGAAAAAATATCAAACATTGAAAGTAGAAGCAAATCTTTTGGTCCTCAAAATTTTCTATCCAAGATCTCTGCAACAAAATTTTATGAAATCCGCTTGATTTACGAAACTATTGCAAAATGATTCGACCTCGGACATACTTACGCGAAAAAATAGCTGTTTTTAATGGAAATTTACCCTTAGAAAATTGATCAAAATCCATGTTATCAGGCTCGCTCTTGCTGGTCTTGGAAACAGGTTTACGTACAACTTACAACTTGTTAGAACCTTCAAATAGCTGTTCACATTTCTCGCAAATCATTTACATCTTCCACAATATCTCACATAAGAGAAATTCCCAAAATTTGTACATGTAACAGAAGTTCAACAAAAATCGAAATGGAAGAGAAGCTTACTGGAAGCGAGATGCAATGATTCTTTGAAAGCCGAGCGTGGCAAATGAGCCCCGTCATGTTCATTGAACTTCCAAATGGCTCGGATACTACAAAAACGAACTTGAGCAAAATAAATGTGGAAAGTAACAAAACAAAACATTGAAGCTGAGAAGTTTTTCTCAAATCGATGATATCGAGAACTTGATAATTCCCCGCAAAGTCCATTCGTACAACGATGCTTGGGACAGTATTCTCTGCATTGTTACCCGACCTTATAAAGAGAGCGGTTCTCGCTTGACAGAGGAAGCACAACAAGCTTGAAGTATTGAAGCCGTATAGAGTATTCCTCCTTGACAACTAGCTACCGCACACACTATTTAAAAGTGGGAAACGCCAGGAAAGCACTCATTAAGGTGGGCATTGTTTTTTTGCTTCCATTGTGCTTTGCCCGTTGATAAAGTTTAGATTATTGAAGACTAGTGGAGTTCATTAAGCAGGAGATTGGCCAAAAAGTCCCAACATTATGAAGGCATTTAAGGGGAAATTTAGGACTTTGTAAATGTGAGCAGGCTGGGGGAAAATATCTTGTTAAAAAAATCGCTAATTGGCATTAAAATCCCCGCCAAAAACAGCGACTGTCTGCAGGATACTGTAACTCCACCCATTTTGGCGGCAGTTGGCTGATTGGCGCAGGCAGCCAATCGCGACTCAGTGGGCGATAGCTCGCCCTTAACCTCCAGCAATCTTCAAGACCGGAAAACGCCATAAAAAGCACTTTTCGACTTTTCAAGCACAGCCCTAGACTCAGCGCATCCAGAAGGCTAAGGAGGCATGAAAAGCTCGCAATTGCAAGACTCTTACAGCGCCGTTCAGTTTTGAGCACATGACTAGCGTTAAAGTGATAATTCATTGACTTTGTTTTGACTGGCTGTTTTGATTGTTTTTGTAATGCATTTCTCACTTACTACTTATGTTTTTGTGAGCTGTATATACGGCTTAATGTTATTGACTCAGGCAAAGTTTATGTCGAAGTAATAATGTTGCAAACTGGCCTTCTACATTAATCCTACACCGGTTCAAAAATCGTTCGCATCTCATTTCCAGTAAGATTTTCTTCCATTCATTTTGGTCTTTGTCGAACACCTGTTTAGCCGAGCTGTGGGAATTTGAAACACGCTTTCTGATAGATGTTGTATTTTAAAAAAACGTAGATTGTAAGACTGGAACATGAAACAAAGAAATTTTAAGTCGCGAAATTCTACAAGTCCTTCAGTCTAAATTCTTTAGTTACTGGCGAAGATTGTGAATAAAAAGGTAGCTCATTCTACATCACGCTGATTTTCAAGACTAGCAAGACCAATTTTGAGAATAAATTTTATGAAACTCAACCAATTTCCGATGGCAAAGCGTACTCCAAATTTCTTTTAACTCAGCGATAGGGATTTATTTTAACAATGCTTTTTTCAAGAGGGAGGTGAGAACCATTGTGCTATAGCAAAAATTCCGTCTGTCGTTGAAATAATTTGCAGTTGTTGTTTTTTCAGCAGCAGAGCAAGACTGGTACATTACATTACTGTACAGAATGGCGTTTTGGAAATTTGCCTTCTTCAGAGTCTGAAAGTTGAAGACACATAAGTAAAGCATCCGATCGAAGACCTTGTCGATTACATATAAAAACCCCATCCCCTAGAAAAACAACAGTATCAACCAAGTCGCAGGTCAAGCTAGCGCTCACCTTATAGATGATAAATTAGGTGGGTCACTAGATAACTATGTATGGGTGACGATAACAATGTATTTTACGCGCAAATTCTGTCTCCCAGCCTTTGCACCGCGAGAACATCTTATATATAAAGCTGAATGTCTGTTTGTCTGTATGTATGTATGTCTGTGTGTACGTATGTTCCGAATAGAAAATTCCATTTCTGAACCGATCGGGACCAAACTTGGCACACGTACACTTCGGGCCCCGGCGGGTGTCATAGGCTACTTTTCGTCATCGATCGATATCGATTTTATCGATTTTTTGCAAAATTTGAGCTACGGGGCTGGGAGTTGGCACAGGGGGGTAATCAAGCATGCTGATTACCCCCGTGGGGGTAATCAGCATGCTTGATTAGACTGGGAGTTGGCAGTGATTAGACTGGGAGTTGCTTGATTTGGCTGGGAGTTGGCACAGGGGTTACACCCAGGGTAAAGCGGGGGGTGCGGCACGCCGCAAGGGGGGGTCGTAAGGGAGGGGGGGTGTAGGGGGGGGGGTCGTATCGACCCAAGGTCAAAAGCGGTTTCTAAGGGGAAATGACTGCAGCTAAGTTCTTAGACGTGCCACGCTGTTGAAATCCTGCAAAATTCAAGTTCAACGACACAAACTTGCAGATACCGTATGCCTACCGTAACCTCCCGTACCTCTAATCAAGCATAATTGTCGTAATCCGCGTGTCGAATAACCCCTATGCGCCAAGTTTCAGCGAACTCTGAGGTCTCCGAGCAGTAAACAACCTTGTAGAAAGCAGTAATTTAAAACATGATTAACTTCATCTTAACGGTGAGTAAGCTACCTCTTCTTGCACTCAATACAAAGCACTACTCCTTCTTTGTCCACCTCAGGAATCCCGCTTCAGAAGACCTCCAAACTATTGAATTAGAAGCCAACCAAAATCGCTTTTAGCTTTTGATCGCTGTGCTTTCACCAAATATTACTCAGAGCTAAGAAGACGAATCAGGCTCAAAACATCCCTATGGAATCTATGAGGTTTAGGCTATTGATTCATATAAATGTTGTCCGCTAAAAATGTTTTTTTGATATAGTTAATGGCCTGCGGCACCCCCCCCCCTCAAAACCTGCGGCTGCCGCAGGTTTTGAGGGGGGGGTGCCGCAGGCCATTAACTTACCTTCAAATCGTTCAAACAGCTGCCTTTTTCATATCATCCTATAGATTCATCCTTCCTCTCTCCGTAGTAGCTGTTTCCCCTCGAACCTTTTTCTTTAGAAGGAAATACATATGGTTTTTGCGAACCATATGCTGGGAAGTGTGGCCAAAAAATATTGGGTTACGGTAGCGCTCGAAAGATTGTCAAAACACACAGAAGCGCGAGATACGCGCCTTTGAACCCCACTCTCGTTATGCGCTGTGATTCTCGCCTTTTTGTTCTTTTTCATCACTTGTTTCTCTCATTGTTCTTTCAGAAAACTTGGATGGATGGATGCGGATGCGGATGCGGCTTGGGCGTCACATAGCATGGCCTACGGGAGCTGATGGACGAGATGGATGTTTCAAAGTCGGCACTCGCTTCCGTGTCTAAGTCAGATTTAGGTGGAAGTGTACGTTAGCAAGTTGACTGTGTCGCAGTGGAATCGTGAGAGTGAGTTGCCTGATATATTCACATGCTCTAATGCGCACTTGGACAGGTGTTAAACAGTGCATCTTGTAGGCAACCGGGTTGTCGGTGTATATGCAACCCGTTCTGGCAGCTGATTGTATCAAAAGTGTCCAAGCAAAATGTATGACCAAATTTGGACCAGGAAGCAGTCTGCTAGAATCACTTGACAATGGGAACGAAATGGTCCGAATGTGTCCTACAAGGCACCTAGATTGGAGACAAAGTTTCTTACTTAAGACGAGGAGCTTTCAGGTGCATCTTGAGGTCAGCATCTTCCTATTGATTTTTCCAATATTTTTGCACTTTGTTCGATTTGCTATATTTGCTATGCTCTTCAGCGTGGACTTATCTGCTGAACAAGACGTCTTTGAAGCGGCACTTAGCTCGCCTAAAGGAAGTGTGCACTTTATGCGCCCAAATGCCAGGCTGTACCGGAACACCAACCATTCTGTCTGCATGCCTTTTATCTACAGAACCCGAGCCGTATCTGAGAATGTTCCCCGGAATGCTTCTATTGACGCATATAGGTTTGTACCTATTCTTAACTATTCTTAGAAAATGTAATGATCATTCTTTTTCAGCAAAAAATCTCGATCGGCTGGAGCGGATGATACCACTATCACTCACATTATGGTATTTCCAACCAGTGCAGGCATTCAGGTAGACTATTTTCAATTAGCTGTGGAACTTTTGGTCTTAGCCTTGTTACTGTAAATACATGATTGCTACCATTTTCATCATAAATGAGTACTTTTCCAGCTTGGTGCTGCTGAGCAACATGCTGGCGGTGATGACGAGTGGGATATGGACCTTGTTATGGATACCTTGATATGGATATCATTCCCACAAGATGGGAATGATATCAATGACGAGTTCATGCTAGTTTGTTTAAGGTGGGACATACTTTAAACTTGTATTTTCCTTATGTTTTCTGCTTTTGAGAGATTATCTTGTGCGTTCAGTGCGCCTTATTCTGATGATGAGCGCAGATGTATCTCTTGAGAAATACCTTCAAATTTTCAAGTCTTAGGGAACGGCCATAGGTTGTCGGTGTTCGCGGTGTTGTCAGTGTTGTCGGAGCGCCGATGTTGCCGGTCGTTGTACCTCATGATAGCCTCCAAGTTTCGCTCGCTCTCTAAACTGTCTCTGAACCCGACAACCCCGACAACGTCGACAACACCGACTACCTGTGGCCGTTCCTCAGGTAAAATCCTGTTGGAGAGTCCACCTTGCGAGAGATTTTCATCAAGACTGCTGACAATTACATACAGGGAAAGTACTTCGCAGAAGTTTTGAAGGTAAGTGCAATGATGTAGAAAATTTGGTAGGTTCAAAATTCCTTATAGGAGATACTGAAACACGGAATGTTGAAGGTAACACCTACCATTCGTTCTCTACCAGCATCGTTTGGATTTGGCTGTTTTGTAGCGAAAAATGGAAGTGGACGTAGGTTCATTTCATTCTATAATTGTTGGTGCTGTAGGGGCTTGATGCTTCTTTACAGATCTCAACAAGGCCATACCTCTTCAACACATATGGGATGTTGTGCTGTTCTTTTACGGTTCGAAAAGCGGACGAGAATTAGAAGATGCACCAGTTAGGAAACTGAGTCAGTCCTTCAAGTTGGAAAATGTGGCTGGTAAAAGCATAACTTCAAAACAGGTGAACTTTTCATTTTTCATTTTTATGCACACTGGTTATTTAGCTTTTTGCTAGTATTCTTTGAGTAAGGAGCGTTATTTATATTATTTTTCTTTTCGTAATATTATTGTTCCTTTCGTGATTGCTTTTTATATCTTTTTGGTCTGTGCTTGATTTTGAGCCTCCAAGTCTGTCATAAATCGCTGTACTCTCCTATTTTTATCTTCGTCGAGAAACTTAAAGGCAGCGTGCATGCAAATCTGGGCCTATGGAGATCTCACTTGGAGGGTAATGGAGGTCTAATCAAAACACTGCCCAAGCGGCAGCTCAAATGGTGAGCTCACAGTTGAGATATTCGCCTCCCCGGACCCCGGGATCGTATTCGCATGGATTCAAGGCGCGACGCATCAGTTTCGCGCGAGGACCAAGCGTGTCGCGCCATGAATCCATGCGAACGATTTCGGGGTCCAGTTTGGAGGCGAATATCTCAACTTTGAGTTCACCATTTGATCTACCGCTCGGGCAGTGTCTTAGTTAGGGCCCCAAAATTACTTTCCACGTAAGAAACCCGTATGTCTCGATTTGCCTGGACGCTGTCTTTAATATTTTTGTATTGATACTTCTTTTTTATCCTCAAATGAAGTATGTTTACAGATTTTGCTGACTACAATAGAGAACATTGTGTCATCGCACGCACGTCTGCGTCGATCCAAAGATGCTCAATGGAAAGCGTTTGTATCTGCTGCCATGAACGAGAAGAAACTTCCTGCATGGCTTCGGTAAGTATTGTAAAGGGAATCTTCCGCATAGCGCGGTGAGTTTCAATGTCATTAATGTGCGGGAAATAGTAAGGCGTACAGACAGTGGGGCCAGTGCGAGCCTCTGCCAAGCAGAGGTGACGCACTGGTCTGCACATAATCCGAAGCTCAAGAGCTAGCTTGGGAGTTCGGGAGGGAGGAGGGGGGGGGGGGGTAGGGAATGGGGGGGGGTCGTGCCGAGGTCCGGCCCAAGGGGGGGGGGGGTCGTATCCGGCGGTCGCGTGCCGCACCCCCCGCTTTACCCTGGTTACACCCCTGTGCCAACTCCCAGCCCCGTAGCTCAAATTTTGCAAAAAATCGATAAAATCGACATCGATCGATAACGAAAAGTGAACTGTGACACCCGGCGGGGCCCGAAGTGTATGTGTGCCAAGTTTGGTCCGGATCGGTTAAGAAATGGAATTTTCTATTCGGAACATACGGCGGAGCCGGGTAAGCCGGCTAGTTACATATATTTTCCGTCTTATCTACTAAACTGTGTATCGCGTTTGACAGCTAGTAAGATCCGCTGTTCTACTGAAGAAAGTTTCCATCGGGAGCGGTCAAATTATTCTTGCGATTTCTGTGAATTCTGCAGTTCCTTCGCTCCTCGAATTCCGATGCGCAGCACTTGCGGGCGCTTTGTCATTTGGTGTCTCGTAACGCGAAATTGCATAAACCGAGGATTTCGCGGTAAACATTGTTTTTGCCTTCCTGTTATCAGTATAAAATCCTTCGTACCAAATTGTTTGTATCATTTCTAACCATGAAGAATGAATTCATTCTCAAGGATCGGTTGGCAGTGAGTAAACGTATATAATCAACATAGATGCTGGAGGCCTCAATGGTTAGTTTTTCTAATAGGCTTCTACTAACACAGCTCAAACAAATCCCTTTAACTAAAGGCCGGGTTCTCCGGCTAATACTCTACAGACAGTGCCAATGCTCGGTTCTCCACCTTCGTTTCATTCTCAACTGGCCCATTTAAGTGTTTAAAAGAGCTGCCAGCTAGCAGTCCTCTTTGTGAATCCAAAACGGCAAACAATACGAGATATGTTTGGTTTGAGAAATGCGTACAAAACACAAGTACAAAGTCACTAAATACGGTAGGTAGTCTATAATTCATTATTTACTTTAAAACTGAGACATGAGTGCGCTTTGCAAAGTTGTGATTGGTAACTTTATAATTGTTATATCTATGGCATCTAATGGACATTTTAAAACTAGCGTCAAAAGGGGAGCAAGCTCGAGATTTCCAAACAACGCGTCAAAGAATGCCTAAGTTTCCCAATTTTAGCATAAATCCTTATTTTGTTTGAAAGGTGATCGCACATGACGTTGTAAATGACAGAACAGTAGTGTCAAAAACGTGGCTGAATGACCATCCTGAAAGTTCGTACGTTTGCTGGACCTACACTACAGCGATATATTTAAAAGATAAAAATGGACTTGTTTACCGCGGAATCCACGATTTATGCAATCTCACCTTATACACCAAATAACAAAGCGCGCGCATCGAAAGTCAAAGAATCACTTTAACTGGAGAAATCGCTGAAAAAGTAGGCTGCTTGCATCATAGCTCAGAATCTACACCTATTTGCGTAATACAATAGATATTTGGTTTCAATACTTTTGAATGTACTGAATCAAATTATCTCGCAGGTAAAGTGCAACACGCTTTCTCTGAATGCAATTCAACAAAGCCGATAACTGAAATTGCTTTGCAGCTAATTTTGGCTCACCGATTTCGGTGCATTCATAATTTTGTGGATTTACGCTATTTTTCGCGCAGATACTTCACCAAATGTGGCACGGGGTCTCAGAGAGTGCACTTTCTTTTTTGCATTATTGAGCACTGCAGATAATTGAGCATTCAAAAGAACACTGGCCCCCTAATTGCCTCTCTTCACCTCCATGCCTTTGACCTCTGCTTTTTTGTAAACAATATAAATAGACTATTTCATTAAGAGCGGTGAGAGTGAAATTCTTTGAAAATAAGCCGAGAAGTAATGATGTAAGTTATTGTTTGATCGCACTTTTTGTGGAGTGTACGACCAAATAACTGTGCACATGCTGTAGCAATGACAAACGCAGAAATCAACTTTGCCACTGAGGGAGGGGATCTATTATTAGGTTGGCTGAAAAATAAGTTTTTTTTGCATATAAATCTGTATAGAGATTTTTCTTGTTGTTTTCTATCCATGAATTTTTGTGAAAAAGTAGCTCGAGTCCTTCGTCAATGTCAGTCACATGTCAGATATTAGGATATTTCATCATCAGCGAAAACAGTTAAGCCTCAACATGTCTAAATTTCTAGAAGCTCAATTCTTTGACTTCTCAAGCTTCATATTGCTGTAATGGATGTAAAGAACAGCAATTTTGTATTTAAACAAAGAGGAGTTTTCCCTATTTGGTGAATAACGATAAAAGTTGTGATCTACCGTTTTGAAAACTTTTCATCAAAAAAGCCAGGAATCCTCGTATTTGCTCACTGAGAAAATGGGGTTTTGCACTTTTTGCGGCTTTTTTTTTGAAAGATTATTTCTTCTCAAGCAGAATTCATATCAATTCCCTTCGAAGTACTCTTTCTAGAAACATCAAAAACTGAACAAAAATATGTCTGCAGCAATTGTAGAAGCCGCAAAGCGACCGAACTTATCTATTAACTAACCTAATATGTTTCAAAAAACCGAAATGATGGGGAGCAACACCAACTACGCTGCTTCACAAATTATGTGCAAACATGAATTCCCTAGAAATATCAAACCCAAGATTTTCGTTGAAGAGCGCATAACGTCAGCTTTCATTTAAAATAACTTTTAACAGCCAATTAAAGTTTTTTGATCCATCAATTTCATAAATTTAGATAATGCAAGCAAGAAGCTTGCATAATTCTATAGCCTACTGGCTGATCAGTGCGGAGCCAGAAAGATTCTTTTTTTTACGCAAAGAACTTCCAAAGAGCAAAGAAATTTTCTATTAGGTGGGTGCAAAAGTTCGTTCACCAGTTTCAAAAAATCACAACTTTGTTTCTTCTCAATCCCGAAATTAATTTTATCTGGAAGGGGACACAATGCTTTTTACAGCGGTTCCTCATTCATGAAAGATATGAGAATATCCGAGAGTTAGAAGCAATTGAAGGAAATTACTCAAGACTGGCATTCTTCAAGCAGATTTCGAAAAATTCTGGGTCGGTAGTAATCTGGTCGAAACTCCGAGTTTGAAGCTCCGCGTTAACTCAAAGATAAGCCTGAGTTCCGTTTTTGAAACTCTGAGTTATCATCGGCTCCCAGATTCGTGTGGAGGTGGAGTCTTGCCAACTCACCGCGTGGCGGTTTTTGCTAGCAAGAGATTACGAAAAGCAATGCTATGACGTGGAGGTTTAGCAAGTTTACATGTGTAATCAGGCAAAGTCTGCAACACACCTTCACACGAATCTGGGAGCCGATCATACGCTTATTGAAACTCTGAGTTCTGCTTTCGTTATTCCGGCTTCCAACTCTCAAGCTCGGAGTTTTGCTTTGAGGAGCTGTTAAGCACTTTGCTGCAAAAGCGACGTTGAAGTAGGGACTCGAACCTGTATGGTCTAGCGTAAAGATCCTATCACTAAACCGCTAGACCATGACACACCCATGAACCCTAAAATTGCTTTGCCATAATGTACTCACTCATTCCATTAACACTTAGCAGGTCAAAACAAGTTATACCAAAGCCTCACTCATTTCCATTTCTATCGGGCAGTGATGGTTCATCACGAGGATTGGTCTTTTGCGCAGCTGAAAGCTTCAATCGATAGAGAAAGCGGATGACATACGCAATGATAAGAATTGACTATTGGGATTCGCGCACAGAATAAACCCTCCGGGCAAAGTTTGCCCTTCCATGATTCGTCTTACTTACCGTATACCTACCGTAACCGTTCATATGCCACCAGTGTATGTAGCAGATAAATTGTCCGTAATCTGCATCCCGAATAACTCCAGTGTAGCAAATTTCGTCTAATTCCGCCGCTTTAATTCATCTACCGTAAACCTACCGTAACCTCGTCAGATGACAGCACAGTATAATCTGCATGTCATATTCGTTATCGGCGCCCCGAATAACCCCAGTGTACCAAGTTTCGATCAGTCTCGTGATTTTCTCCTATCCGTAAACCCACCGTAACCCCGTCAGATGACACCACAGTATAATCTGCATGTCATATTCGTTATCGGAGCCCCGAATAACCCCAGTGTACCAAGTTTCGATCAGTTTCGTGATTTTCTCCTATCTACGCAAACCTACCGTAACCTCGTCAGATGACACTACAGTATAATCTGCATGTCATATTCGTTATCAGCGCCCCGAATAACCCCAGTGTACCAAGTTTCGATCAGTTTCGTGATTTTCTCCTATCTACCGTAGACCTACCGTAACCCCGTCAGATGACACCACAGTATAATCTGCATGCCATATTCGTTATCGGCGCCCCGAATAACCCCAGTGTACCAAGTTTCGATCAGTTTCGTGATTTTCTCCCATTTACCGTAAACCTACCGTAACACCTCCACATGACCCCATAGTGAAATATGGATACCATGTGCGTGACCAGCGCACCGAATAATCCCCTGGGCCAAGTTTTTACAAAATTTCAAAATTTTGTAAATCACTGCGCACCACGATACCCCCATCATGCCTGCTTAAACTACGAGCAAAATGTACCCCGGAGGACTTTTTAGCTGCCTCTCTTTTTTGCGCACTATTTCTCTTTCTCTGACCAAACTCAGAGTTATCTCTGAGTTCCACGATAGACTGGAACGCGCATCAAACTCAAAGTTATCGCAGACACTAGTTGCGCGTTTGGTGGCGCTGTTTCTTGTGCAGGACGATTTGGACAATGTTGTGCTATTAGGAATAAACTACGTGTTGAGGAAAATCCTGCCATATCATCGCTTTCCGGATTTGATCTGTTCAAACACCTGTTAAAGGGGTCAAAAAGTTGCGCGT